GCAAAATTGCAGGTGATGATGAATTTTCTGCTACATGCCAGGCCATGGAAGGACTTCAAATTGCTAACGGTTTGGAGTGCAAGATAACTTGCAATTCATCCAAGGTATTTTATTTTGTAAATCTTTTTAAGCCAACTCTAACTGGTTTGGTGGCCTTGTTGAGTTCGGTTGTATGTGTCAGTTTGTATATCAATTATTTTAATTTTTTTTTTAACTATAAACTGTTAAATTATAGGAGAGATTGAAGTAGATATATCATTGTGCTAATAAATTGGAAATTTGTGCCTGGTAGGTCTCATATGTTTTGGATACCGAAGATTTCTTGTTTCGAACAAGAAGGAAAAGTAGAAGTTTCCCTCAGAACAGCCCATGCCACAACCAGGCAAAGGCTTCAAATGGTTATCCAATTAGAAGACTACAACGGTTTCAAAGATGGCTTTCTGGATCGTAATATGCTTTGTTGTGACCCTGTAGTAGATATGGTACGTACTTTTTTTTTTTAATTGCTGTATCTGGTATCCCGAATATGTTCCCCTACATCCAATACCTGATGATAATTGGAAGAAGATGATAATATATTTTCGATAACTTGTATTTCAGATATTCTTGTACTTCAAATGTCTTGACCACACATTATATACACTGGTGCTGGAATTGGAAAGGTCAACAGCGCCGCGAGTGGAAAAGCTTTTGCAGGATTCATCTTTCATGTACTCTGATATTTCTGTCTCACCAACTCAATAAAGAATCTGAGGAAGGGGGATATGGCTCGGAGGATTGTAGTATAATGCAAGTTTGTGGCATTTTGAGCCATCATCATGTATATAGAGAGGTAATATGTGATGTAAAACCTGAGATATATGTCCATTCCATTCATCTATATTTTTTATTTCTCTTCTAATGTTTCTCGCTTAGGCCCTGCCATTTATTGCAATTGTTCAACTTGTTTTGCTCTTCATTGCCCATATCAACTGCTCTTCCTGCCTTAAAATATCTCCTTTCTGTCATCGACTCTGCCGCTGATTTTGTATATGCAACTGCCGCGAAATAATAACTTTTCCTGTTCAATTGCTATGACGTGATAACAACTATTAGCTGTAATCGCATTGAGTTGATTTTAATTCCCTTGATTATTTTTGCAGTTATTTAACAGGAATGTCGATAATCATGTCTGACTCATCATCCCATTATTCTACCATCTAGAATTCAAAACTAATTGATTAGGTGGCCCAGTATACAAGGTTAAATCATAAACGGCACCAATCTTTGCCTTGGAATTCGGATATCATTTATGTGGTGGTCAGGATGTTAGACACTGCAATAAGTATTCGCATTACATTTAACAGGTTAAGCGCATGGTAGGAATTTGGTCTTCAACAGTGGTTTTTAATGCGCTTTATCATTTTGGGATTTCTACCAATGGAAACAAGACGGATTCGCATGTACAAATGTTGAAAGATAATTTCTAGCACGAACAATTATTTGGTGGACTTCATAGATGGATATGAATTTCATGCGATTTTCCAGCCTGGGTAAACAAGCTCTTGTATTTAGAAATAGTATAGAATTTTGAACTCAAAATCTTAAGCAGTTACCAACGAAGGTGTTATAGGGAAAGATCAAGGTTTGACCTTGAACATCATAGCATAGTGAAGCATATGCATAGATAACGTTTTCTTACGTTGAGATTACTAAAATAACCACCACAACCAATTAAGTGATTAACCCTCCAATCTTTTGATACAGTTGTCTTGAACGGAGACATGCACTGCTTCGTCAGAGCCCCAGTACAACTTATATCCCCCTTGTAATACTTCGGTAAATAATAATAATAATAATTATTATTATTAAAAACAAAAAATGGCTTCAAAAATTTACAATTATATATCCAATAACGAATTCTTGACATGAAGATGGCAATGTGTATGAGAACATGTCAAATTGTGAGCATTTTAAAAAGGAGTGCAAATAGCTCCACTCATGATAGAAGAATGGCTTACAGAACTCACCATCCCAACAGATCACGAATTCTTCTTTTTTGTAGGGATATCAGGACTGAGCAGCTAAGTCATGTTGAGTAGCATCATAAATTTGGAAGCTCAAAAAACCATAAGTAAATTGGGATCTGCACCTCGACTAACATATCCATCTAGTATCTGAAAGCCTGCATCATTCCTAACAACTCTTAGTTAATTAGGAAGAACACCACCAAAACTAAGGTCGAAAAAAAAGGGCAATCGACAGTAATTCAATCCTGAAAATTTATCTTGACCCAAATTGTCCATACAAGGCAGCCAAGCATAATTAAATTAACCGAGACAAAATATAGGCATTTGGGGATGGGGAAGGACCTTAAGTCTTTACACTAGGAAATACAATGATGACCCAAGTAAACAATCTTTCAAAAACTGGGAAATGACCTTAAAAAATTTAGGTCTTCCTTCAGCTGCTATACGATTCTGAAAAATGAATTATGAGATGGCAGATGTTAATACGTGTATCCAACCCCGGCTACAGCTTTAGAAAAGATTCAACATGTGGAGAATACATTTAAAGTTTACAAATACCATTTTATCACCAAGGAAACTTTATCCAGCTAGCTCACTTATTGGTGGACGATCCATTACACCAGAGGCAGCCATTGCATTCTTTTGTAGCAGTGGGTCTACATCAGGCAATTTAGGAATCTGAGCCAATAAGTCAATTGATCGTCTCAATAGGCGAGCCAAATCCCCATCATCCAAGGCGCAATCCATCATCATCTCCCTCCATGTCAGACCAGATGCCCAGGCTTCTACCATGCCAGTAAATTGGCTATCCAAACAACAAGTTATCTCTACCTCATGCTTTTCTTGCAGTTGCAATAGGGAACTTCTCTGGTCCTCCAAAAAGTTAATCACATTGATAACAGTAGTGGAAGGTTCGTATATGTAGCCGTTATTTTTCCAAGCACGAACTTTGATCCCTTCAGAGACTAAGCTTGCACAGACAGCAGCAAGTTGTGCAGGCTTCAAATCTAGCAAAATCTTGTTTCTAAGAACCATTGCAAGCCAGAGTTCATTTTCTCCTCGAATTGCAGCTGCAGTTTCACCCAATGGAAAAATTACATGAGTATTGATATCCAGTGCCCTAATTTCATGTATGACATTGCTGATCCTCAAAAACTCTTTCCAACCAGATGGTTCAATTTGCTTTATCCTATTGATCAAACGGTTTGATCTAGCCTTCAGGCGTTTTATCTTTTCCTCAGTAAACTTAACAGTGTCTAAGATCTTCTTGTACTCTTTAAATGCTTCTGTGCGTGCTATCTTTTTCTTTAAACGTGCTACTTTGGTTCTTTGTTGCTTGTAATTTTCAACAGCATCATGGTACTCCTGTGACATGTGTAACACTTCATCATCTTCAGAAAGACTATTCAAAACTGGCACATTTAAACTCCAAGACCATGTCTCTAAAGATCCTTCCATGCACCATAAACCACCAGATTCAGAACCAGCAAGCTTTTCCCACTGCATATCCCCCTCATCCAGAAGCAACCCCATTGTCTCCCGTGGCAAAGCATCTCCCTGAGCTAAAGCAACATTAGGAAAGCCTGTCTTGTATACAGTTTTAATCCACTTCTCAGTAAACAAATACCAAGAGTTATCTGAACCAAGAGCCACATAATAAGATGGTTCAACATCTTGAATTTCAAAGTCATCACCATTTGTCTGAACTGCAACTACATTTAGGGCAAAAGAATTATCAGAAGAAACCATGTTCTTAAGTTTTGGACTATTAAGTGAGTTGAACTTCCCCAAATATACAGCAGGGACCGAGTGTTCAACTCCTTCAGAATCTTTGTATTGTAAGCACAAAAAGGGTAAGTGGCCATTTTCAAATTCCCTTAAAAGACCTTTAAGAGCAGAGAATCTCTTCAACTCCATCCTTCTACGTAGTTCAGTTCGAAGGCGTTTTTCTGCCTTTAACTCTTCCTGTAGATCCGCAATCTCCTTATATGCAGCCTCTGACAAAAGTCTCCTACTTCTCCTGTCTATAGCATCATCACTAATTTCTGAAGTCAGCATTTCTATCTCTTTCTGTATTTTAGCAAGCTCCTCTTTTGCAGCAAGCATTACGTTGCTGCCAACATAGTTTCCGAAACTTTGCTCAACTAATTTCCTAGCTTCTTCCAAAGTCCTGCCTGCTTGTAAAGCTTTCATGTTATCTGATTCATTTGATCTACGAATAATTTTTGCACCTGCAAGAAGATTGAGCACCATTCCATAAGAAGCAGTGAACTGTGACACAAGAGGTTCCACTCCAGCAAACAATAGCTTACAGCACTCTTCAGCACCTTCAAAAGGGGTCTGAACCAGCACTACATGACCCCTTTCATCGATGCCTCTACGTCCAGCACGTCCTGCCATCTGAAGTAGTTCATTTGAGGTTAACTGGATCCTTCCACTAGCAATCCTTTTGCTGAGAGATGAAATAACAGCCGTCCTAGCAGGCATGTTGATTCCAGCAGCAAGTGTTTCTGTAGCAAAGACAACTTTAACAAGCCCTCGCTGAAAAAGCTCTTCAATAAATGATTTCCATATAGGAAGACAGCCAGCATGATGTGCTGCAACCCCTTTTAGAAGTCCTTTCACAGCAGTCTCCCTGAGAGCATCGGGATACAAAATGCGAAACCTCTTCAAGGCCAATTCAACTTCACTCATCTCACAATCATCTAATAGATTACAATCTTCAAGGTACTGGACAGCTGCATCACATCCTCTTCTGTTAAAAATAAACCAAATTGCTGGCAGCATATCCCGCGCCCGAAGGTGCCATAATGTATCAATAACTTGAGGAACCTGATAATTATAATGATAAATTAATTTTTTATTATGAGTGGAGGTCATAAGTTAGGGTAGGAAAAAAATTGATGAGTAATTATCCTTATTTAAAAAATAAAACACATCAATGATAATCAGACATCTGACTCCATCTGTACCTGTGAGCGACGAATTGTGTTCATGTCATTCTTTGAAAGTTTAGGTTGTCCAGAGGCACTATTATTATTGACGCTCATGTCACCTCTGCGTTTCCTGGAATTCCTTCTTCTAGACCCATCATCCCTGTACGATTTACCTTCTGAAGCCAAAAGTTGTAAATAATTGAGTGACAGCTTCCTGATCCATATGAAGAAAATAGAAACTTGTTATTCACCGAGGGAAAAACAAATGCCATCAACAGATATCAAATAAAACTACTATGAAAAGGAATCCACAAGCCTAAGTAAGAATATGAGGAAATTCAGTAGCTTTCACAAGCTTGCAAATGGTTCTTAATAGACAGAAAAGCTATTGTACGTCAAAAGTTACTAAATTCATTGGTAATTTAGAATGAAAACCATTAATGACAAACTTATTAACTAATTTTGTTCATGAATAATAAAGAGTTTATGAATAAGAAGTTTACACTCAAAACTGTAAGTAAGTGTTTCCTATCTGGATAAACAAACAGACACCCCAGAGTCTCTTATAGAAGTACATAAACTGTTTTTCTCAAAAGGATGCTCCTTCTCACAATGGGTTACTAGAGGACAGAAATACTATTAGATATAAGAAGAACGGCATTTCAGTAACCATATCTTCTAATATATAACAAATCAAACATAGAAATATATACTGCGATAAATACGCTAATAACAGTAAGTAGACAATATCATGGCATGGATTGAGAAAAAAGGGTAACAAGGTCATAGAAAAATTAACCATTTGCCCAAAAGATGTAGATAAAATAATACTGCCTATCAAGATTGAAAAACATATACTTCAGGACAACATAATATACCTATTCATGTGTTTTCCTTCCTCATCAAGAAGGGGTAGTAAAGCATTCTTGGTTGAGAAGTGCCAAGTCAATGGAACTGGTCGCCTAGACGATGTCACTAACTCAGTTTTACCATGTATCTAGAGAAAAGACAAAAGTTTAAAAGAATTAACCATCTCTAGGGTCCAAATATCACAAATATCAACACATCATGCACACTGCAAAATTTCAAAAGCAAGGCCTAACATGAGTAACGCATAGAATCCAAAGACAAGCAATAATATTATTTCAATCCCATTAAGCATATTCTAGTATCTTTGTATGCATAATGCACAGAAAAGAGTCCAACATAACCTAAAACATGGCATAAACAACCCCAGAATAGTTGAATATTAAATTACAACAATGATATTCTTCTAGTATTTATCCAACAATAAATAAATAAAAACAATACAGTAAAAGAAAGTGTATTCTTCTGAAACAGTGTCTAACATGTGTGATAAAATTAAATTTCAAAGAGTATATTTCTCATCTAGGCAATCTTACACACAACTTAAATCTTAAAGAGAAAATTTGCCTCAGAAGTCTCGTAAATGTTAGGGAGGACACCATCTAATTAAAAAGTAGATAGACGTTTATGAAGAATCTAACACAGAATAAAATTACTAGTCAATCTCTGACAACTTATACTTAGTTGAACAAGGACACAAAAACATATTCTATTCCTACCACTGGATCAAAGCAAGGGAAGCTGGAGCAATAAAATTCAAATAACTAAGAATGCACTAGACTGACACAAATTGAAAATAAGCTAAACACAAATATTCACTCAGACTTGCAAGGTAATATATGCCTGACAAGCATCATCCTCGCAATTTCCTAGAGAATTCAAACATAATCAGGAGCTAGATAATATAACAGAAAATGTTACCTGACCAATCCAGCCAGCTAGCTCATCTGCATTTGCAACTGTTGCTGACAGGCATATGATTTGAACTTCTTCGGGGCAATAAATAATCTGCAAAAAAAATAAAAAAATAAATAAATATCCCAAGAGAATAAATAATCTGGAAATATATAACCTAATGAAAGCATGAGCTACAATTGAGCCCTAAACAGTGTACTTACTATCTCCTCCCACACTGTACCCCGAGATATATCGCTTAAATAATGAACTTCATCCAAAACTATCACATCAACTTCGAAAAGTCCACTCTCAGAAGAAACCATCCCAACACTGCATGAGAATATATAATAAACTCCCATCCTTGTTTCCAGCTATTAAATTATGTTAGAAAAATAAGACCAATGAGATCATAAAAAATATAGTTTGAAAATAACATTTTCATAAGATAAATATCAAGATTTTAATACATACAAATGAAAATTCCTTCTAGAAATATAATAACATTTCAACACTACTAAGTATACCTCTGATACAACATGTTCCTCAAGATCTCAGTAGTCATAATTAAAACCTGAGCTTCTCTGTTGACTGCAGAATCTCCAGTAAGAAGACCAACATTATTATCACCAAATGTCTCCCTGATCATCGAAATTAATTAAATTCAATATACAAAAGTTTTGCAAAATCCAACCACCTAACAATAGTTTCGCAATAAAAAACATAACCATTTAATTACCGAAACTCACGAAACTTCTGATTAGACAATGCCTTAAGCGGTGTCGTATATAAGATTCGGCGTCCTCTCGCTACGGTGGCAACTGCAGCAGCTTCCGCAATCAAAGTTTTTCCACTGCTTGTAGGCGCAGAAACCACCACTGAAGAGCCTCTCAAGAACGCTTCAATCGCCGACCGCTAGCAAAACAAATTCAAAAAGTCTAACGAAATACGATGTGAATTTTAAAATTTTAGAGTATGTCGAAAAGTATAAATATATTAAATAGATAAACCTGAAATTTGTCGATGCGAAAATCGTAAACAGAAGCAAGTTCGTCAACGTCAATCAATTCGTCACCGTACTCTTTAACTTCATTACAAAGCTTTTCGACTCTCTGCCACTTGAACTCCTCTCGCCGAGTCGACGCGTCTGTAGAGTCTACAGAAGTTTCGAATTCATCTTCACTTTGTTGGAATTCATCCGAGATTCCACAAGAAATGTCGTCGTATTCATCAGCGACTTCTTCTTCATCGTCGTCGTCGTTATAATCTTCCTCCTCTTCTTCTTCGCCATCGGCATCTGAAAGCCCGGGCTCGGCGGAGAAGACTGACTTTGGGGACTTGTATGAGGCTCGAAATTGAAGTGAATTCGGTGAGAAAAGCGGTTTATAAATGCAAGAGCCTACGGTTTGAGGAAGAATGTGAAACTTGAAAGATGAGGAAGGTTTCGATGTTGCGAAGGAGAATACTGAAAACGTGTTTAGAGGGGAGAGGATAGAGAGTGTGTTCATGGCGGGAGAGATTCCTGCAAGATAAAAAGTTTCAGATAATTGCTTTTGGTAACACGATATTTGCGGGTTAGGGCCAACTCGACGTCGTTTAAACGTTCTGATGTAATCATGGATTATATTGCCATTAGTGATTAGACAAAAAACTAAATTTTGTACCATTTTTGTCTAGTTGTGTGAATGACTCAGTTGTGATTCAGTTGCAAGCAAAATTTTAACGTAAGAATTTTATTTTATAATAAACCTAACCTTGTGGTACTTTTAGGCACAGTTCTTGTGGCAACCAAACAACCCCTAAGGCCAAAGCCGCCGTGACTTGCGGTGTCACCCGCCCAATGGGCCATGTCTCAGGTTGACTGATTCGACCTGTTAAACTGGCAGTCTGACCGGTGCTCCAGAAAATTTGAAATCTTCGAACACCCCTTAAAAATTCAATCATTTCCTACAGGTTTGCAAACACAACCCTGCGACAGTTAAGGCTTTGTTTTTTCCGGCCAAATTTTGACTAATCTCGGCAACCAAAATTCAATCTGAGACCACCAATTAAACCACCAGCCTTCACTCTACAAAACCCCTCTAACCTTGACACTTGGTAGCCTCCCGTTCATCGGTTATGACTCACATATATTGCCGCACTTGGGTTGATTTTTTCGGCCAAACTTCGACTGATCCCGATGTCCAAAATTCACTCTGACACCACCCTTTGAACCACCGACCTCCACTCTACAAAAGTCCTCTAACCTCAACACTTGGTATGCTCTCGTTCGTTGGCAGTCAAATTAGGGATTTCGAAAATAGTTGAATTTTGTAACCTGATCCTGATCAAACTAGTTAAACCGACTAGGCTAAGTTTTAAAACCTTACTTAAAACACTCAACAACTCACACCTTGGCACCCCAACAGCCCTCCCCCATCTTCACAACAAGTCGCATACCGTCGAATCCGAAGCACCCCCATTTTTAAATAGTAAATTCAAATCACAACCTCCATTCAAACACCTAAGCCTCCCTCCAATCAAACACCCATCATGCCGTCATCCCATGCCCAGCAACGCTAGCCCTACGCACTCCTCTTTAATGCCCAAAAGCTTCCCCATTTCACCCACTGCTAGCCCAATGCAACACCCATTCTCTATCATACCATCACAATATTAATACTTATGTTATGCCCAAAAACCAGGTCTATCGTAGGCATGCATCAACAGAAACCAATTAGAGTTCATGAAGGTTTTCTGTCGTTTGGATGCAGCCACGTCCCGCAAGGATGTGAGGGGTAAGGCCATCATCAGTAAGGCAGGTGAACGCCAGACCTACAAGTGGCTGGGAATTGTCCACCTATTGAAGCCCTACGCGATTTAAGGAGATCTTTCTTGTAGATAACCAATGGGAAGCGGGTTAGGAATTGTACCACACCTGCCTACTCGCAGAATCATGATTACTAGCTTGAATCCTCCAACTATAAATAGAGAGCTCTCCTCTATTTTACAGGATTGGCTCATCCACCACTCAAAACATATACTTTCTCTTTCTCTCTCTACATTCATTTTATTTTCTCTATTGTAATTCAGCTCACCGAATGCGACCTGATTATAATCAACCATTAATATAACCACAGTGGATGTAGGATTTGCCTTAGAGCATTCGAACCACTTTAAAAATTGCTACTCACTCCATATCTTTTTTTTGCACTTCCATATCACGTGTGATTTTTAAGTCCGCTTAGCACTTCACACATGCGAATAGTTGGTGTCAAAATCAACTTATAATTGAACAAATATACATAAAACTCATCAATGGAACAAAAGTACATAATACATACTTTAAAGTTTAATCCAAAATATTTTTTTACGGTGGGGGAAGGGGACAAGTGACTTTTGCATTAGGTTAAGTTTAAAGTTTTTTTTTTTTTTCTAAAAAATTATTTATTTTGTAAATTGTCAATTTTATATTTGGTTAATAAAAGAAAATTAAATTATAATTTCTTTTATTCATCTGGGTATTTTAGTCTTTTGACTGCTCACGCATAATCTTAAAAGATAAAATAGTAAAATACCCCTCAACTGTTAGTATTGATTTTTTCAATACTTTTACGTCTAAGTGCTTAATATTCCAATGGTAGGTACACGCAAGGTTTCAAAACACGACCCAAGGGGTGACCTGTTCAAGCGATCGGGTCATAGGTTAATCGGTTTAACCAATGATTTAACAAGTTCAAAATATAGCAAACACACCCCTGATAAATACCATCAGACCCTATAGGTTTGAAATCTAGCAAACACAACCCCTGGCCAAATGCAAATCGATGATCGACTAGGAGTGCAATGGCAACACATCAGGGAGGGTAGATCGGGTGATAGGGAGGACGAATCGGTAGCTAGCAAGTTGAGGCATCATTGGAAAATGGCAGATCGGTGATGGAAGTCAAAGGTTGCGGTGGCTTTTTTTGGTAAGATGACTGTGGATCTTCGTGAATGACGACAAGAGAGCTTGGGAGAAGGTAGATCGGTGGCTGAGGAGGCCTCTTGATGCCGGAGAATGCCAATCAACACCGGGAAATGGAAGAAAAATTGTTGGATGACGAAACATCGTGCGGGGCAGGAGATGAAGCGTCACAGCCCCCGAGAAAATCAGAATGTGGTTTTCAACAACAAAGGAAGGTGGAAGGTCGTCCGAAAAGGGGAGGTCATCATCGATTTGCATTTAGCCAGAGGGTGTGTTTGTTGGATTTCAAACCTTCGGGACTGATTTGTATTAATCAAGGGTGTGTTTGCAAGATTTCAAACTTAAAACAGTTGAAAGTGTAACCCGACCCAGAGGAGGCCCCGAGTCCCAGTTCAACCGGTTAAACCGGCTGGGCCGGTCCGAGTTTTAAAACCATGGGTACACACTTGTAGTTATGAAAAATGCAATGCTGAATCATACAACTGAGTTATACAAACATACAAAAAATAAATGATAAAGTAATCATTTTATATTAATTTTGTCTGTTTGTATGACTCAATTGTAAATAAAATGTTGCTCTTATGAAAAACCTTAAGGATAGTATATGAAATTAGCATAATACTATACATATAATATTTCTCATACAACATTATGTGGCAAACGATGATTGGGTGAAAGTTTATTTTTAATTTAAAATCAGGTAATCATATTTTGCCACACAATGTTGTATGAAAAAAGTTGTATATTTAGTATTACTCATGAAATTAATGTTATTGGAAATAGAAAAAAAAAATGATAAATAGAGCTCCAAAAGATAAAAGTTGGGATGCTACTAAAATGATTATACTTCCATTCAATGAGTATAATAATGTGAATAATATTATATATCCAAGTTTTTCATTCAAAAGTTTTAAGTGTCAAGTAACATAACATTGAGGGGACGTTTGGTTCAGGAAATGTTGGATTACTGGAAAGATAGATTACCTTAAAGATTACTGGAAATCTTTAGGACAAAGTGTTTGATTAATTGGTGGGTATGTTATATTAATATGTTTGGTTGAGAGGAATAAATTGGTAGATATATTATTTAAATTACTGAATTGTCCTCTAATTAAATATTATTATATTATTTTTTAATATTATTATTATTTGGATTTCTATAACCCCCCCTACATTTAAAAACTTAGCAAAAACAACCTTATAATAAAAGTTTAGAAAATTAACAAAACACCCCCCACCAACCAGCCACTGCCGGCCGCCTGCAACCTAACGGCGCACGGAAGGCCAAAAATGGTCGTCGTGCACCGATATGACCATTTCCGACTAGATATCTGGCCGGAAATGGCCATATCCGTCAATCTGGCCGTTAACGGCTAGATCGATGGTCGTTGACGACCACAGACTTGACGGCTAGATCTACGAATCTCAGATTGATTACGAATCTGGTTGTCAACGGCCAGATCGATGGATATGGCCTTTGACGACCAGATTAGATCTTGCCAGAAATTGCTAGATATCTGGTCAGAAATGGCCATATCGGCGCACGACTACCATTTTCGGCATTCCATGCGCCGTTCCGGTGATAGCAGAGGTTATCGGCTGCGGGTGGGCTATAATTTGTTTTGAATTCAAGAGTAATTTTGTCCAAAAAAATTAATTAATTGGGGGTGAAATTATAAAAGCCATATTCATGTAAATAAATTTAAAAATAAGGGCATTATTGTCCTAAAATTTTATTAATAAGGGATAGAATTATAACAAAAAAAGATAACCTTGGTAATCTTATAATACCTAAAAAATGAAGATAATCAGATTACCTCAAATATTACTAATAGTAACCACTATTAGTATTTGAAGATTACTGATATCTTATATTACTTGATAACCAAACATGGTAATCAAGTAATATAAGATGACTTAACCCTAGTAATCTCAAATACTCCCTAACCAAACGCCCCCTGATTGATATTTTTTTTTATCATATTAATTGAGATGTAAAAGTTAAATAAAAACCTTGGAGGATATAAAGGACTATTTCCTTTTGAAGGTCTTCAAACGAGAAAACATAAGTAACAATAAAAGGGCTTGTAACAAACTTTGTTGACTAGGACTTTTAGATATGTTAATCAAAATTGAAATTGGACTAAGGACGGCGGAAAAAAAAAAAACTTGGCTCCGGATTTGAATCCTAGTCCCGGACCTCACAATATTCTAAAAAGCCCAGCCCAGCCGGGTTTTATTATATATTATTATTGTTGCATATTATGCAAATGTGTGTTTGTTTTACTTTTATTATACTCGTATGATTTAAAATAACATTTATACATTATACTAAACAAAATACCATGTCATTTAATATTTTAACAATAATCAATTATTGGATTTTATAATAAGAACTTTTAAAAATAAAATTAATTATAATTAATGTAAACATAAACCCAAGTCAGACTACAAAGACCTGAGCCTAAAACCGGATTCAACCAATATTTTAAAAACCAATTCAAAGATGAATTAGCAAGCTGCTCTCATTAAAAAAATAAAAATAAAAATTGGTGTTAGTCAACCCAACAAAAATTTTCCTGAACTCTAATAATAATTTGTTAAAAAAATATTTTAAAACTAGTAATACAAATAAGGGTAATCATTATTTTAATACA